TAATTTTCATAGCAAGTTTTAACAAGAACTGATTATGGTGTACTTACCCTGAAAAACTCACTAATAAATCTAATAGAGGCTAGTGTTTCATATACATTGCCATTACACATTGTACCATTGCCAATATAGTTTGATTTACAGATACATCTGACATCTCCATATGGAAGAGCATCTGTAAAAATTAAAACACCAAAATGCTATTCGTAGTATAAACATTTTGAGCTAAACCTACTGACTACTTGATTCCCAGGGGTTTTCTGGTGATTTTTTTCACACTATATATTTTTATTTTAATTTTTGTGATTTATTTTAGGAAAATCAAAAAATCTTGTTTTTATATAATAATAAGTTTATTGACCGCAATCTTTCATTATTGAAGGTATGCGTAAAAAAAATAACAACAACAAAACAGATAAAAATATAACTTAACCCAGTGAGCAATATCAGATGGAAGATCAAATAATTAAATAGAATTTGTTGGTGTTGTTTTCAATGTACAAAATGTGGGATACTTGCAGAATGCCAGTGAACATTTCTTTGGATATTTAGAGTTCTCACTCCTGGTCCGATTAGATTTTAAATATAAAAAACAAATATTTACTTTTGAGATATAATTTTTGGTATGTATTGGGTCTGGGATATTTCAGCTTTGTTGTCCTGTACTTCATTTAGTAATTCAAACTTCCCAGATTGTGTAAAAACGGATAGTTTCACGATTTCATATGACAGCAGAGAAATTGTCACGGCAACAAAATTTCAGGATTTTTACCGACTCATTAAAATGGTCTAAAATTAAGAAAGAAGTTATGTCATGCAACTACAACGATTTGCAAAAATTGCTGACACACAATATCATATGACAGCAGAGAAATTGTTACGGCAACAAAATTTTAGGATTTTTACCGACTCATTAAAATGGTCTAAAATTAAAAAAGAAATTATGCCATGCAACTACAATGATTTGCAATAGACTACTCACCTGATGGAAGGATATAATTACAGTAAGCATTCTCTGAGCATTCACTGCTGAATCCATTAACACAGGGTTGTATTGGTGGTATAGATAAAGTACAGTCGATCCCATCACCTTGGTATGGATATATACAACTACAATAATTGGAGTTCTGTGCAATATATATATTGATGAAAAGAAATTAGTTATGAATGAGGAATTATTGGGATTATCTTTTTTATGTGTGGAAGTTTTGTGATGCTAATTGTAAACCAAACCTTGGATGATATGATCTCCTAACCTTCCCCAAACCAAACCTTGGATGATACGATCTCCTAACCTTCCCTAAACCAAACCTTGAATGATACGGTCTCCTAACCTTCCCCTAAACCAAACCTTGAATGATATGGTCTCCCTAACCTTCCCCAAACCAAACCTTGAATGATACGGTCTCCCAACCTTCCCCAAACCAAACCTTGAATGATACTGTCTCCTAACCTTCCCCAAACCAAACCTTGAATGATACGGTCTCCCTAACCTTCCCCAAACCAAACCTTGAATGATACGGTCTCCCAACCTTCCCCAAACCAAACC